TATGAAATAACGTATATACGTATTTTTTTCAAGACCTTCGATGTTCCAGTCGAGAGCTCAGGACATCAGCTGTATTCCTACCCCCCTACCCCTACCCCCCACCCCCGAGATGACTTATTTAGATTTAGGTTGTTGTTTTTGGTTGTAAGGATAATGTTCTTTTCACAAATATTACCAGAAGTGTTTTTTATGGCGGCATGTTTACTTTTGGCTATAGAAACATAGCTGTAGTGCTTCACCGCCCTATAATGAGGCGTCTTTAATGATACCCTTGTAGGCCTACAGTTCAATATCTTACATCAGTTAGGAATAGTAAAATAGTAATCTTTAAACTCTTGTTAAAGTATAAAGTTATTTTTTGTATAAAAGTATAAGGTTGATACAGTATAGTATAAAGTACTTTTATAAAAACCTTTCGCCAATGCTGGCGTTCGCCTGGCGAAGCTTCGCCTGGCGAACATCTGAGTGAGGGAGGCCTGCTTTTAAACCAAGGCAGGTGTTCGCCAGGCCTGGCGAACGAAAGGGATCGCCAGGCGCTGACATCTTGGATTCCTGCTAAATCTAGCGCTTCGGCGAATGAAAAAAACGCGAGAAAAAGCAAAAGGTTTTAAAAAGTACGGGCCATAAAGTTAACCTTGTTTATAGTATAAAGTGTAGTATAGCATAAAATATAAAGTTAATTTTGTTATAGTATTAAGATATTTTCAACTTCTTTGTTATAGCATAAAAGTTAAACTCTCTCTCACCCCTCGTTCTCTCCCTCGCTCTCTCTCTCTCTCTCTCTCTCTCTCTCTCTCTCTCTCTCTCTCTCTCTCTCTCTCTCTCTCTCTCTCTCTCTCTCTCTCTCTCTCTCTCTCTCTCTCTCTCTCTCTTTCTCTCACTCTATGTCTCTTTCTCATTCTCTCTTTCTCTCTCTCCCTCTCATTTTCCTTTTTTTCTCTCTATCTCTTTTCTCTCGCAATCTCCGTCTCTCTCTTTTTTCTCTCATAATCTCTCTCTCTCTCTCTCTCTCTCTCTCTCTCTCTCTCTCTCTCTCTCTCTCTCTCTCTCTCTCTCTCTCTCTCTCTCTCTCTCTCTCTTCTCTCTTCTCTCTCTCTCTTCTCTCTCTCTTCTCTCTCTCTTCTCTCTCTCTCTCTCTCTCTCTCTCTCTCTCTCTCTCTCTCTCTCTCTCTCTCTCTCTCTCTCTCTCTCTCTCTCTCTCTCTCTCTCTCTCTCTCTCTCTCTTCTCTCTGTCTATAATATATATATATATATATATATATATATATATATATATATATATATATATATATATATATATATATATATATATATATATATATACATATATATATATATATATATATATATATATATATATATATATATATATATATATATATATATATATATATATATATATATATATATATATATATATATATATATATATATATATATATATATATATATATATATATATATATATATATAAATATATATATATATATATATATATATATATATACTATATTATAGGTAGGTTGAGTATNAGAGAGAGAGAGAGAGAGAGAGAGATGGGGGGGAGGGGAATTAATGCTGCATAAGGGGCTCTGGTGAAAGCAAGATGATGGAGCGTGTGAGGTAGGGAGAATGGAGTAACAAGAGAAGGAGGAAGGGGGAGAAGAAGAAGAAGAGCAGGAGAATAAGAAGAATAAGATCAGGAGAAGGAGGAAGAGGAGGAGGAGGAGGGAAAAGAGGATGAAGATCAGAGAGGGTGGTAAGGATGAGGGCTAAGACTTGGCCTTGTCAAGGAGAGACACTTGATGAAAGGGAGAGACTAAAGGTGAGTGATGCATTCGGCTGAGGAAGGGACAGTTGACGGACTTTCTCAAAGGAAACGGCACAAGGTGTTTGTACTATAAACGCTACCATGCTTCATACATTTGCATTATTTCATGACTGATATCTACATCTGCTGGTGAATATCTGTAATGCATACAGATCGGCATAATTATAACTAAATATCTGCATGTCCTCTAAACATATCAAACAATTTAGAGTAACTATCCAAAAACATTAAGTATCATAAACTCATGAAACATAGAGAAAGTGAGGGAGGAACAGGGAGATAGAGATAGATAGACAGATAGAGAGAGAGTGAGTGAGTTCGACCCCGTTACCCGGTTACCTGCGGCACGTGCTTCTCTCTCTCCCGCAGGTCGTGCTTCACCCACGAGATGACGGCCGTGAACACCTTCTCCTCACAAGGGACATTCAGCTGCGCAGACGAGATCAGCTCCTCCACCTGACGAAGGAAAAGAGGGTGGGGAGAAGTTACATATATACACACACACACACACACAGACACACACACACGCACACACACATACACACACACACACACACACACAGACACACACACACGCACACACACATACACACACACACACACACACACAGACACACACACACGCACACACACATACACACACACACACACATATATATATATATATAT